GCGACTAAAATGCCGGGAGCAATGGGCTAGTAACCCTTCTCCTGTATACATTTACTAAAAAAGAGAAGAAGAAAAACTTTATAAAACTGGGTTGTTTAAATGTGCGTGGATGTAGTGCGGATGACAAGAAACAGATGATTGCTGATGTTATGAATGAAAAGAGTTGGATGTCCTGGCTCTAAGCGAAACAAAGCTGAAGGGGGTAGGAGAGTTTCAGTGGGGGGGAAATAAATGGGATTAAATCTGGAGTATCTGAGAGAGTTAGAGCAAAGGAAGGGGTAGCAGTAATGTTAAATGATCAGTTATGGAAGGAGAAAAGAGAATATGAATGTGTAAGTTCGAGAATTATGTGGATTAAAGTAAAGGTTGGATGCGAGAAGTGGGTCATAATAAGCGTGTATGCACCTGGAGAAGAGAGGAATGCAGAGGAGAGAGAGAGATTTTGGGAGATGTTAAGTGAATGTATAGGAGCCTTTGAACCAAGTGAGAGAGTAATTGTGGTAGGGGACCTGAATGCTAAAGTAGGAGAAACTTTTAGAGAGGGTGTGGTAGGTAAGTTTGGGGTGCCAGGTGTAAATGATAATGGGAGCCCTTTGATTGAACTTTGTATAGAAAGGGGGTTTAGTTATAGGTAATACATATTTTAAGAAAAAGAGGATAAATAAGTATACACGATATGATGTAGGCGAAATGACAGTAGTTTGTTGGATTATGTATTGGTAGATAAAGACTGTTGAGTAGACTTCAGGATGTACATGTTTATCGAGGGGCCACAGATATATCAGATCACTTTCTAGTTGTAGCTACACTGAGAGTAAAAGGTAGATGGGATACAAGGAGAATAGAAGCATCAGGGAAGAGAGAGGTGAAGGTTTATAAAACTAAAAGAGGAGGCAGTTAGGGTAAGATATAAACAGTTATTGGAGGATAGATGGGCTAATGAGAGCATAGGCAATGGGGTCGAAGAGGAATGGGGTAGGTTTAAAAATGTAGTGTTAGAGTGTTCAGCAGAAGTTTGGTGGTTACAGGAAAGTGGGTGCAGGAGGGAAGAGGAGCGATTGGTGGAATGATGATGTAAAGAGAGTAGTAAGGGAGAAAAAGTTAGCATATGAGAAGTTTTTACAAAGTAGAAGTGATGCAAGGAGGGAAGAGTATATGGAGAAAAAGAGAGAGGTTAAGAGAGTGGTGAAGCAATGCAAAAAGAGAGCAAATGAGAGAGTGGGTGAGCTGTTATCAACAAATTTTGTTGAAATAAGAAAAAGTTTTGGGTGAGATTAACAAGTTAAGGAAGCCTAGAGAACAAATGGATTTGTCAGTTAAAAATAGGAGAGGGAGTTATTAAATGGAGAGTTAGAGGTATTGGGAAGATGGAGGGAATATTTTGAGGAATTGTTAAATGTTGATGAAGATAGGGAAGCTGTGATTTCGTGTATAGGGCAAGGAGGAATAACATCTTGTAGGAGTGAGGAAGAGCCAGTTGTGAGTGTGGGGGAAGTTCGTGAGGCAGTAGGTAAAATGAAAGGGGGTAAGGCAGCCGGGATTGATGGGATAAAAATAGAAATGTTAAAAAGCAGGTGGGGATATAGTTTTGGAGTGGTTGGTGCAATTATTTAATAAATGTATGGAAGAGGGTAAGGTACCTAGGGATTGGCAGAGAGCATGCATAGTTCCTTTGTATAAAGGCAAAGGGGATAAAAGAGAGTGCAAAAATTATAGGGGGATAAGTCTGTTGAGTGTACCTGGTAAAGTGTATGGTAGAGTTATAATTGAAAGAATTAAGAGTAAGACGGAGAATAGGATAGCAGATGAACAAGGAGGCTTTAGGAAAGGTAGGGGGTGTGTGGACCAGGTGTTTACAGTGAAACATATAAGTGAACAGTATTTAGATAAGGCTAAAGAGGTCTTTGTGGCATTTATGGATTTGGAAAAGGCGTATGACAGGGTGGATAGGGGGGCAATGTGGCAGATGTTGCAAGTGTATGGTGTAGGAGGTAGGTTACTGAAAGCAGTGAAGAGTTTTTACGAGGATAGTGAGGCTCAAGTTAGAGTATGTAGAAAAGAGGGAAATTTTTTCCCAGTAAAAGTAGGCCTTAGACAAGGATGTGTGATGTCACCGTGGTTGTTTAATATATTTATAGATGGGGTTGTAAGAGAAGTAAATGCGAGGGTCTTGGCAAGAGGCGTGGAGTTAAAAGATAAAGAATCACACACAGGGTGGGAGTTGTCACAGCTGCTCTTTGCTGAGACACTGTGCTCTTGGGAGTTCTGGATGCAAATAGAAGATCAAAAAATTAAAGGTGAATACAGGAAGAGTAAGGTTATGAGGATAACAAAAAGATTAGGTGATGAAAGATTGAATATCAGATTGGAGGGAGAGAGTATGGAGGAGGTGAACGTATTCAGATATTTGGGAGTGGACGTGTCAGCGGATGGGTCTATGAAAGATAGGTGAATCATAGAATAGATGAGGGAAGAAAAGAGTGAGTGTTGCACTTAGGAGTCTGTGGAGACAGAGAACTTTGTCCTTGGAGGCAAAGAGGGGAATGATGGAGTATAGTTTTACCAACGCTCTTATATGGGTGTGAAGCATGGGTGATGAATGTTGCAGCGAGGAGAAGGCTGGAGGCAGTGGAGATGTCATGTCTGAGGGCAATGTGTGGTGTGAATATAATGCAGAGAATTCGTAGTTTGGAAGTTAGGAGGAGGTGCGGGATTACCAAAACTGTTGTCCAGAGGGCTGAGGAAGGGTTGTTGAGGTGGTTCGGACATGTAGAGAGAATGGAGCGAAACAGAATAACTTCAAGAGTGTATCAGTCTGTAGTGGAAGGAAGGCGGGGTAGGGGTCGGCCTAGGAAGGGTTGGAGGGAGGGGGTAAATAGGTTTTGTGTGCGAGGGGCTTGGACTTCCAGCAGGCATGCGTGAGCGTGTTTGATAGGAGTGAATGGAGACAAATGGTTTTTAATACTTGACGTGCTGTTGGAGTGTGAGCAAAGTAACATTTATGAAGGGATTCAGGGAAACCGGCAGGCCGGACTTGAGTCCTGGAGATGGGAAGTACAGTGCCTGCACTCTGAAGGAGGGGTGTTAATGTTGCAGTTTAAAAACTGTAGTGTAAAGCACCCTTCTGGCAAGACAGTGATGGAGTGAATGATGGTGAAAGTTTTTCTTTTTCGGGCCACCCTGCCTTGGTGGGAATCGGCCAGTGTGATAATAAAAAAAAAATAAAAAAAAAAAAAATATATATTATATATATATATATATATATATATATATATATATATATATATATATATATATATATTATATATATATATATATATATATATATATATATATATATATATATTATATATTTTATATATATATAATATATATATATAACGTGTGCAATAAGTAATTAACTGGTCATTAGCAGAACTATTAAAATAGTCCTTCTAAAATTTTCTCTTATACAAATTAAAGATATATTTTTTCATTAATGTTAATGTAAATTTTTTAATTTTTTCTCAAAAGGAATCTTAGAAAAACTTACCTAACCTATTATGACAAGAACAATTTATTTTAGCCTAACCCAACTAAATATATTTTAGATTTGTTTTAATAATTTAATACTAAACAACACAGTGAAATAATTTTTTTTCGTTAGGTTCAGAATGATTTTGGCGAACATAATTGCCCTACACAAATTTTGGCTTGTCTTATATGGCAAGATGAGCGTTGCATTTAAGACAAGTTCGCTATTCGGCACGAATATTATATATATATATATATATATTATATATATATATACTATTTAATATATTTTATTATATATATATATATATGCAATTAAGATCACAGTTAACAGGTGATTTCAGAATATGGAAAACAACCACTGTGAAAGAATAGTGAAATTCCAATCGCTTTCATGACTACTCACATTATCAAGGAACAATAAGAGTAATGCATCAAAGGAAGGCATATAAAGGGTCTAGACCACACGTCACCATCACATCCCACAATAAAACAACACCTGACGCGCGACGACACGCGACTCATATGAGTCACGAAGAATCTACCTCTGCACCTAACGATGAATCTACCTCTGCATCTAGCACACGAAGAATCTACCTCTGTATCTAGCAAACGAAGAATCCAGCTGCATCTAGCACACGAAGAATCTACCTCTCCATCAATGGGCTTTGCATTATAATGTTTAATGATAGGCTTTAGACGATAGGCTATAATGATGTGTACTAAATGATGAATGATATGCTTTGGATGGTAGGCTGTAAAGGGATATTCTCTGAACTGGACAACAAGCCTTGAATGAAAGGCTTTGAGTGACAGGCTTTTAATGATAGGTCTTGAATAATAGTCGATGAATGATAGGCTTTGAATGATAGGCTTGAAATGATAGACTTTATATGATACTTTAAATGATAGGCTTTAAATGATAGGCATCGAATAATAATCTTTGAATGATATTCTTTGAATGAAAGACTTGAAATGACAGACTTTTATAATTCTTTACACGATTTATCATTCTGGTCTTGGTAGAGAAGAGTGTCCGTGTGCCACACTGCCACAGCAGGAGGAGCTCTCCCTTCGTCAGTGTACAAAAACTCCCCCCACCAAAGACTACTTTTCACTGTTTGTCCCTCACATCCTCCTGGGTTTTCCCCTAAAACCACTAGGGAAAACAACACCTTCAATTACCTGGTGAGAGAGAGTGTTCCCCGTGTGGGCGGGTGGTGTTTGGTTGTGACGGCTGAAGGAACCCTGGTAGTTTTTTATAATATAATAAAAATAATAAAAAATAATAATTAATAAAAATAAAAAAATAATTAATAACATCTGGACATCTGAAGTTGTTTACATTCTTAAAGGGCAATAGACATATTTTTTAGTATTACACAATAGAAGTGTATGTTTGCTTGTCTTCCAATCTTGATAATACCCGTAACAAGACTTATAATCAACTTGTAACCCCGTCCGGCCCACAGCGGTGAGAAAAAACAATGCAAGTTGTTTTATTGATACAAATCATTTTGCTTTTAAAGGCCACGTCAGCTCACACGGGCAAACATTTTTCCAATAAAGGCTTCTTCTGTAAAGTGAGTCTGCTTACTAGTGGCGAAAGTTCAGTCAGTGAGGCTAAACAACTCTATTGAATGTTTATAAATCAGGATAATTCTAGCAAGGGAGTCATATGATTCGAACTTGTTACCAGCTTGTTTAATAGGTAGATTCTGTAATTCATCAGTTTAATATGTAAATGAGTAGTGAATCATTTGATAGGTAATTATTGGCTCGACTGCTCAGTGGATGATCAAAGCTGCTTAACAATTGTAATCAAACGAGACAAAAGATACTTTTTTTAATTACAAAAATTAAAAGTGTTTATAATTTCAATCATTTTTTGCAAATAATATCAGTTATCTACCTGACTGAAACATAAACTACTCTCCCTCACTGGAATACAAACTATTCTCCCTGACTGTAACACAAATTATTCTCCCTGAATGGAACACAAACTACTCTCCTCGACTGGAACGCAAATTAGTCTCCCTCACTGCACCTCAAACTGTTCTTCCCGTGCTGCAGGTCTTTCAAGGGCAAGACGTACCCGTGGGGACGAGAGACGAGCACCTTCAAGGAAACCTACTGCCAACTGGAGACCCTGGAGACCGATGAGGCCCTGCCGACGGACGAAGGTCACTACACATGCACCGTCACCGCCTCCAACCGCACCTCCGTCAGCAGGAACATCAGTCTCTGTGTTAACAGTAAGCATCTTTGACGACCTGTGGAGGCGAGCCAGCACACGGGTTAACTCGCCCACACCTTAGTATTGTGTACCAAAACAATGTTGCCCTTTCTGGTATTCAACATACAATTCAGTATGCCAAACATCCACTGGATAAAAAATGGTGAAATTCCAAGCGCATTCGTGATTTCTCTCATCATGAAAGCGCTTGGAATTTTAATATTTTTTTTTCAGAGTGGTTGCTTTACAATTGTGATATCACCTGTGTACTGTGATCTTATTGCACACACACACACACACACACACCACACACACACACACACACACACACACACACACATACACACACACACACACACACACACACACACACACACACACACACATTATATATACATGTATATATATATATATATATATATATATATATATATATATATATATATATATATATATATATATATATATATATATATATATACATACATATATATATATATTTATATATATATTATATATATATATATATATATTATATATATATATATATATATATATATATATATATATATATATATTATATGTCGTGCCGAATAGGCAGAACTTGCGATCTTGGCTTAAATAGCAACGTTCATCTTGCCACATAGGACAAGCGAAAATTTGTGTATGCAATAATTTCGCCAAAATCATTCTGAACCTACCGAAAAAAATATTTTTCACTGTGTTTGTTTAGCATTAAATTACTGTAAACAAATCTAAAATATATTTAGTTGGGTTAGGCTAAAATAAATTGTTCTTGTTATAATAAGGTTAGGTAAGTTTTCTAAGATACTTTTGGTGCAAAATTAAAATTTTTTACATAAACATTAATGAAAAAAATATATCCCTAAACGTATAAGAGAAAGTTTCAGAAAGGACTTAATTTTAAACGAGTTCTTGCTAATTGACCAGTTTTACATATTCGGCTGGAGCTGGATGAGATTTTCGCCTTATAATCGGTGATACACACGTAACAACATGTACGTTATATGCCACCTTTATATCAACAATGTATCTCTTAAATCTTCTGTACCATATTATGTAATAAAATATTCCTATTGGTAAAAAACAATATATTAAAAGATGGGGTGGTAGGGGAAGTGGAATATTCAAACAGCTTCAGGAAGAAATCCAAATATTCTTCCTTGAAGCCTTTTTATCCACTTCTCCGAGGCTATGGGTCCCACAATTTACACCAGAGGTGGACCCCATCCTATATATATATATATATATATATTATATATATATATATTATATATATATATATATATTTCACCGACGTCAGTGCCGGGTACAAGGCATATGTATTTAATATGCAACATGTAAATACACTATGTGTAACACACAGACTAAACATTCCGCTGGTGATTCAAGCTACCAGTAATGTCTGCGCTCCGATGCACGTATTGGCCAATAAATTAATTAACTGTTTGTAGTGTTTTGTGACAACAGCGCCAGTCATCAATTTTGTTCCTGTCAACTGAGTGCCAATATTGTTCAGACATGAGCATCATTTAATGAAAGTAAATTAAAAAAAATAATAAGCGTTTGTGATTTTCGCCTGTTTAAGTTTATTGATTATAGAGAAGTGCTCTGATTGTCTGATTGTACAGAAGTGCTCTGATTGTCTGATTGTAGAGAAGTGCTCTGATTGTACAGAAGTGCTCTGATTGTACAGAAGTGCTCTGATTGTACAGAAGTGCTCTGATTGCACAAAAGTGCTCTGATTGTACAGAAGTGCTCTGATTGTACAGAAGTACTCTGATTGCACAGAAGTGCTCTGATTGTACAGAAGTACTCTGATTGTACAGAAGTGCTCTGATTGTCTGATTGTACAGAAGTGCTCTGATTGTACAGAAGTACTCTGATTGTACAGAAGTGCTCTGATTGTACAGAAGTACTCTGATTGTACAGAAGTGCTCTGACTGTACAGAAGTGCTCTGATTGTACAGAAGTGCTCTGATAGTACAGAAGTGCTCTGATCGTACAGAAGTACTCTGATTGTACAGAAGTGCTCTGACTGTACAGAAGTACTCTGATTGTACAGAAGTGCTCTGATAGTACAGAAGTGCTCTGATCGTACAGAAGTGCTCTGACTGTACAGAAGTGCTCTGATTGTACAGAAGTGCTCTGATTGTACAGAAGTACTCTGATTGCACAGAAGTACTCTGATTGTACAGAGGTACTCTGATTGTACAGAAGTGCTCTGATTGTACAGAAGTGCTCTGATTGTACAGAAGTGCTCTGATTGTACAGAAGTGCTCTGATTGTACAGAAGTGCTCTGACTGTACAGAAGTGCTCTGATTGTACAGAAGTGCTCTGATTGTACAGAAGTACTCTGATTGTACAGAAATACTCTGATTGTACAGAAGCGCTATGACTGTACAGAAGTGCTCTGATTGTACAGAAGTGCTCTGATTGTACAGAAGTACTCTGATTGTACAGAAGTGCTCTGATTGTACAGAAGTGCTCTGACTGTACAGAAGTGCTCTGATTGTACAGAAGTGCTCTGATTGTACAGAAGTACTCTGATTGTACAGAAATACTCTGATTGTACAGAAGCGCTATGACTGTACAGAAGTGCTCTGATTGTACAGAAGTGCTCTGATTGTACAGAAGTGCTCTGATTGTACAGAAGTGCTCTGATTGTACAGAAGTGCTCTGACTGTACAGAAGTGCTCTGATTGTACAGAAGTGCTCTGATTGTACAGAAGTACTCTGATTGTACAGAAATACTCTGATTGTACAGAAGCGCTATGACTGTACAGAAGTGCTCTGATTGTACAGAAGTGCTCTGATTGTACAGAAGTACTCTGATTGTACAGAAGTGCTCTGATTGTACAGAAGTACTCTGATTGTACAGAAGTGCTCTGACTGTACAGAAGTGCTCTGATTGTACAGAAGTGCTCTGATTGTACAGAAGGGCTCTGACTGTAGAGAAGTGCTCTGATTGTAGAGAAGTGCTTTGATTGTACAAAAGTGCTCTGATTGTACAGAAGTGCTCTGATTGTAGAGAAGTGCTCTGATTGTACAGTAGTGCTCTGATTGTAGAGAAGTCCTCTGATTGTACAAAAGGGCTCTGATTGTAGAGAAGTGCTCTGATTGTACAGAAGTGTTCTGATTGTAGAGAAGTGCTCTGATTGTACAGAAGTCCTCTGATTGTAGAGAAGTGCTCTGATTGTACAGAAGTGCTCTGATTGTAGAGAAGTGCTCTGATTGTACAGAAGGGCTCTGATTGTACAGAAGTACTCCGACTGTAGAGAAGGGCTATGATTGTAGAGAAGTGCTTTGATTGTACAGAAGTGCTCTGACTGTAGAGAAGTGCTCTGATTGTAGAGAAGTGCTCTGATTGTAGAGAAGTGCTCTGATTGTAGAGAAGTGCTCTGACTGTAGAGAAGTGCTCTGATTGTACAGAAGTGCTCTGATTGTAGAGAAGTGCTCTGATTGTACAGAAGTGCTCTGATTGTACAGAAGTGCTTTGATTGTGCAGAAGTGCTCTGATTGTACAGAAGTGCTCTGATGGTACAGAAGTGCTTTGATTGTACAAAAGTGCTCTGATTGTAGAGAAGTGCTCTGATTGTAGAGAAGTGCTTTGATTGTACAGAAGTGCTCTGATTGTAGAGAAGTGTTCTGATTGTACCGAAGTGCTCTGATTGTAGAGAAATGCTCTGATTGTACAGAAGTTCTTTGATAATAGAAAAGTTATGATAATAGAGAAGTTTTGACAAAAGAGAAGTTTTGATAATAGAGAAGTTTTGACAATAGAGAAGTTTTGATAATAGAGAAGTTTTGACAATAGAGAAGTTTTGACAATAGAGAAGTTTTGATAATAGAAAAGTTATGATAATAGAGAAGTTTTGACAATAGAGAAGTTTTGACAATAGAGAAGTTTTGATAATAGAGAAGTTTTGACAATAGAGAAGTTTTGACAATAGAGAAGTTTTGATAATAGAGAAGTTTTGATAATAGAGAAGTTTTGACAATAGAGAAGTTTTGATAATAGAGAAGTTTTGACAATAGAGAAGTTTTGATAATAGAGAAGTTTTGACAATAGAGAAGTTTTGATAATAGAGAAGTTTTGACAATAGAGAAGTTTTGACAATAGAGAAGTTTTGACAATAGATAAGTTTTGACAATAGAGAAGTTTTGACAATAGATAAGTTTTGACAATAGAGAAGTTTTGACAATAGATAAGTTTTGAAAATAGAGAT